TGAGGGGTTGATATGTCACCAAAATATGGGGTCTTTGTTTGAGCCCGCCTCCCTAGAATGGTAGTTCCTGTGTGGATCTGCCTTATGTATTTGTAAAAAAATTATCCTAAAATTTAAAGTGAAAAGTTATGAGGTAAGAATATTGCTGATCTTCTCCTGGTATTTCAGCCTTTGAGATCTAAATGCTCTGAAGCAGACTGTCTTTCTGGATTGGAAATGAAAAGACTGCCTACAGAGACCAACTCGAGTGCATCCCCAGCCCTGTAGTGAATTGCATTTTCACTGAAAGTTAAATGAAAGCAAAGATGATAGTTTTGCTGATTTTCATATTTTTGGTCACAAAACCGCTTGTTATCTATATTTTCTAAGTTTCTGTGGTTTTTCTAGAAAACATGGGTTTTGAAGTGAGTTTTTCCCAAATGCAAACTTAGATACTTTTCTAAAATTCAAATAGAGAAGGAAAAATGGCTTTTTAAAATCAAATTTTCTTCCACTTGTAATTGAAGTGATTCTATAATAAACTTCAAAGACTAGTTATAGATTTGATTTTCCCATGTGAGATCTTGGTAAATATTACTTTTAAATGGTGCCATTTAAAATTAACATTTGTTAGATGTTACCAAATTCTTAAAATTCTTAGCATATTTTCACCATAGCATTGCTGAGACTCTTAAACTTTCTAAAGCACCCAGATCTGTGTTTTCAGTGTTGTGACAGATACCTGCAGGTGCAGTGACATGCATCAGCCAAATATGTCCTTTCTAGAGTGAACTCAAGCTGTCTGTTTTATCCTGGGAATAAGTTTTCCATAAATCTCATCTGAAAAGCGTGGTTCAAATGCTGCCGCCCCCTTTTATGAGAAGCAAGTTATAAGCCACAGTTGTTACCTCCACAAGAATCCATATCTATGGACTCATCTGCCCTTGGTGACTGGCTAGGCTGACAAGTATTTGCCTCTTCAGAATCTAAAATGAAGCTTTGTCCAGTGGCAGTCTTGTAGGCAGTGAGGTTTATCTGAGGCACAGTTATTATACCCAGATTATAAACAAAAGTCTAAGACAAATAAAAAGTATCCATTTACACTCTGTAAAATGTTGTGTTCACTCGTGAGCTTAATGTTTTTATCATAGTAAACATAACAAACTTAGATATAAAACAAGTGAATATAGCATGTGACTGTACCCACCAGGCACTATAGAAAGAAGGCCAACATGATTGGTTCATTTTCCAAATGTCACATGGAATATTCTAGTGGTTTATTTTTTGTATTAACTTAGAAGAGGAAGTAAAATGTATGTTTCAGTAAACAGTGCATGCATAATAGATTTTTAAAGGATGTTTTATTTCTACTTTTAGCCTAAAAATACATGCTTAAAACCACTTCTACTGACAAGATTTTTTTTTTTAAATCACAGAATCAACACTTCTCTCAAGCCTGATTTAAGCTAACACACTTCTGTTACATAATTAAACTACTTCTTAAAACAACAACAGTATTTTACAACCTGTCTCTTCCCAGTTCTAAACTCAGCTTGACAGTATTGCCACGTCACCCAGCTACTGGGACTTGTGTCATTCCTCGAGCACCAAGGTCATTGCTTAGACTTGTATATAAGATGCAGTGTAGCCCATTAATGGTAAGTGTTGGAAGCATTGCCTTTTGCTGCTGTGTTCTGCATCCACCCTAGTTTTGCCCTCCCACCATGAATGTAGTATTATTCATAGATTATACATAAGTGCGTGTATTGCTTTTGGCAGTAAATCAAGATCTAGTTGTAATTTTCCAGCTGTGAAAATGTCACCTTGTATTTAAAAGGGTTTCACGAGTGGAAACCTAAGTAAATAAGCTCATTAGTGACAGACCTGCTCTTCCATGTCCCCGTTACCATCTCCCCACCCCCATGTGAGTGCTTATTCCTGAACAAGGAGAATCTTAAACAAAATGTAAAAAGGAAGACTTGCTATTGCTAAGTATCTTTTGTAACTGATAAACTAAAGCTTTGTTTTCCTGGATAGCTTTATCCCCCACCCACCACCCCAATAAAAGCAGCTTACCTTGGATTGGGAAAGCAGGCGAAAACTCTTTGCCTTCTGTGTACTCATCTTTCCTAAAGGTGCAGTGGATGTCACTCCTGTGTGTGTGTGTGTGTGTGTGTGATGTGAGCATGCCCAGTCATTTGATCTCTTTTCAGCAGAGGGAAGGACTGTGCTGCAAGCTGGTGGTGGTATACAGAGGGTCTGTCAGCATGCACCGAAAGCCCCCGTTTTCACAGATTTATAACTTTAATAATCCAGATGCTGTCCTTGGAAGTATTTAATATGCAATAGGTAGCACCTTCACTAATTAATCTGCATATGAAGGGCTTCCTGATATATTTAATAAGATGTGTAGAAGCTCTTCAAGCATTAAACTAAAGTTGACGTTTTATTTCATTTACTTTTCTCTGTCAAAAAAAAAAAATCAACCCTTACAATGGAATTGAAATCTGTCCCCTAATGGTACATTTGGACCTTTTTTAATTTATGGAACTTCTAGATTGTATGTACTGTGATGAATTTAAAAAAAATGCTGCAGATCTAGAAATGTATGTTCTTAGCAAGTGTTGGAATGATGTAAGCATTGTTTATAATTGAAAAGTATTACCCTTCCTTCTTAAGTAAATGCTTAGCAACTCATATACATTTTTGCAGGTACAAAAGTATATAAACATTGTATAATGTGACAGTTGTATAATTTATGTAATCTGATGCATGAGTCAGAATTTTTATATATGATAATTGATTTGTTATAGTTGATTAAAGTGTTTAAACTTAATCCAGTTATCAGAATTTCTATTGTAAAGCTGTTCCTATTACGCATTTCTATAGGCTTCTTCATTGTCTCTGGATAATGAGACAGGTTGTGTTGGGGCAAATGATCAATACAGCCTCCAGACCTGTCTTGTAGGGAATCTGGCTCTGAATGGTCATGTGGAAGTCAAGTACCTTTTAACTTAGTGTGTGTGTGTGTGTGTGTGTGTGTGTGTGTGTGTCTGTGTGTGTGCGAGCGTGTGTGTACGTGTGTGTATATGTATGTGTGTCTGAGTGTGTATGTATGTGTGTCTGTGTGTGTATGTACGTGTGTCTGTGTGTTTATGTACGTGTGTCTGTGTGTTTATGTACGTGTGTGTGTGTGTGTGTGTCTAGAGAGAGAGAGAAAGAGGGGCAGGGAGAATATTGTGTAGGTCCTTCCTGTGTCTCCTTAGGGGCGCATTGAGAATACAAACACTTGTACTACTGTAACCAGCTTTTATATGGAATCTGGGGATCGACCTTAGGCCGCCAGGCTCTTGTAGCAATCCCCTTATCCCTGAGCCATCTACTAGCCCCAGAAAAGTTTCTAAGAACTTAAGGAGTGAGCTTTCTTCAGCGCACGTGGAGAGACACACGCTCTGCTGTCTGGGGATTGCCCCATGTGTGCTGGCGTTTAGGCTGAGGCCCATGGCAACAGCTCTCTTCTTTTGTCACTTGATTTATTCTTCACAACCCAGGGAAAGAAGACACAGGGTTCTGGAGGAAGTTGTAGTCAAGGAAGAGTAAATTGGATTGGCAAACACATGGTTTTTCTAACTACTTATCTTCCACTTATGGCTGAGACCACACAGCCATCACAATGGCCGTCATAAATGCATACCTGTTCATCTGAGGTTCCATCCGAGAGAAACTGGCTCTTACATCTGCAAATGCACACACGTGTCTGAACATGTAGATTGCAGTGCAGCCAGCACTTGTGTGGCTGTAATCTAGAGTCTAGATTGTGAGATGTGGATCGTGTATATTCCTAGATGTCAGTCGGGTCTCTCTAGAGAGCAAGAGCTTTCTTTGCAAACTGGCTATCTTCTTACTCTCTGGTAGTCCCTGACATTCGCAGGGTCTTTAACCTGCCGCTCCTTTTCCATGGTGTGTTTTCCCTTGTCTGTTTCTCTACTAGCTAGCCCTAGCCTAGTCTCTCGGTCTGCAGAGACAAAGGCATTTGAGGGCAGTGTAGAAGCTGAAAGCCAGCCGCATGAAGTCATTTTTCAGGGTAGTTTTTTGTCCCAGTTCCTGTCAGACATGATACTTTCAGATGGGCTTATGATCCAAATGCCTCACATTTTATGCTTTCCTCAAATAAGCTTGCATAACAAATTTTTCACACTTTTATCTTTCTGTGGATATACAGTTGCTGACAATTAACTGTTTGAACCCAAAGCGCTTCATAGTCTCATATTTCCTATACACTAAAGTCTCATGCTTAAATGTTCAGTCATTTTTATCACTTGGTAGTCCCACCATATGCCAGGATCCATGGCAGAAAACAAGATTGTAAATTTCTTAGGGGTTTTCAACACAACTCTGCTGTGTAGGGGTAAAATTCAAGATAATGTCTGATTAATACTATTAATACCAAAGTTGGTGATTTTTTTATAAAAGGAAATGAACATAGTTAAAGATTAAAGCTGCCATGTCACTCGAATTCTGCCGTATCCTTTTTAAAAGCAGACGAGCAGGAGACTTCAGGCTCACTCAGCAAACATCCTCACTGGTACTATGACTGGTACAGTGACCACACCCACACATATTAGGGCTGTAACGTTATGATACATGACAAGGCAAGCGTGAGAAAATAGCTATCATGGGAACAGTGAAACTAGAAGCCCTGTTTTGAAACTGTTCAGTTCCTGGACACAGGTCTGGAGGTATTAGAAGCCAGAGGTATCAGATCCTTTGGGGATGGAATTAACAGGTGGTTGTGAGCCTCCTGACACAGGTGGGAGAACTCAGATCCTCCACTTAAGAGTTGAGCCATTTCTCCATTTAATACTTTTTGAAGAATTTTTATATTTTATACATTAGCTATTTAAAATTCT